TGGAGGGTTGGCCTGGGGGAGGCCTGGAGGGTAACCTGGAGGGGGGCCTGAAAGGGGTCCTGGAGGGTTGGCCTGGAGGGTAACCTGGAGGGGGGCCTGGAGGGTAACCTGGAGGGGGGCCTGGAGGGGGGCCTGGAGGGGGCCTGGAGGGTGGTCACTAGCAGTGACCTCGTCCCCTGGGGACGGAGGGCTGGAGCCGAGGCTGGGTTTGGGCCTGGGTGGGGTGACGCCAGCTCTCGGGCGCCTGCTCTCCAGGCATGGCCAGCCCTGGGCTGTGAGGCTGGCTGGGGAGAGAGGGAGGCCGGAGGAGACAGCTGGGAAATGAGCTGGGGAAGGGGATCCGGAAGGTGCCGACCTTGATCCCAGGACAGAGGGGGCTGCTGCAGCCTGGGCAGGGCCCTGAGTGTCCCTCCCAGTCGCTGGTCGGCGGGTTCCAACAGCTTTCCCAGTCTGTGAGTTGGACATTTATTGCTGTGAAGTCTGCATCGCGTCTGGGCTGAGGGCGAGCTTCACTGATGGACGTGGACAGCTCCTCTGCCCCGTGGGACCTGGTCTGGCCCTGGATCCTGGTCTCGGTGGCTTCCTGGCCGTCCGCCTGTGCCTTGAGGGCACCTGGTCCTGCCTGAGCCTCTGCTCACCTTCTTTTCCTCTCCTTAAGGGGGAGGCTGCTGTGGCCTCTCCCAGCACTGGACCCTGGGCCTCTGGCCACACCCTCTGCCCAGGTCCCCCAGCTGGACAGGGCTGCCTGAGGCTCCTCTCCTGCCCGGTCAGCGTCCTCCTGTCCTGGCTAGGTCTGTGGGTCTCCCTCCAGGGTCCTGCTTCCTCCCGCTGCCCCGCCTACTCCCCCTGGCTTGGCAGGGTCCAGGCGGAGTCCAGGGGGAGGAGCCAGAACACAGGGAGCCGGTCAGGACGGGTCAGGATGGGTCAGGACAGGTCAGGACGGGTCAGGACGGTCAGGACGGGTCAGGACTGTCAGGACGGGTCAGGACGGTCAGGACGGGTCAGGACTGTCAGGACGGTCAGGACGGGTCAGGACGGTCAGGACGGGTCAGGACGGTCAGGATGGGTCAGGACGGGTCAGGACGGGTTAGATGGGTCAGGACTGTCAGGACGGGTCAGACGGGTCAGGACGGGTCAGGATGGGTCAGGACAGGTCAGGATGGGTCAGGACGGTCAGGATGGGTCAGGATGGTCAGGACGGGTCAGGACGGGTCAGGACTGTCAGGATGGGTCAGGACGGTCAGGACGGGTCAGGATGGTCAGGATGGGGCCGGGGCGTCGCTGTCCGGCGTCATTTTTTGTCGTTATTTCTGACATTTCTCGTTTGGGCTGTTTTACATCCGAAGTTGCAAGATAATTTTTTTCCCAACTAACACCTCAAACCTCTCCCTGTGTTCCTGCCACCGGCCCTCGGTGACCGTCCCAGCGGCCGCAGGAGCTCTCCAAGGCAGGGCCCTTTCTGCTGTGCCAGGCCCCAGTGAACGCACCGGCCTCCTTCTCCCCGTGGTGGTGGCCTGGGCTGGTGGGGGCAGAACTGTGCATGTGACCCTGTCCCCTGGGCGAGGCCCCTCCCCACGCTCTGTGGTCTGGTTTTGACTTAGAAGGGTGGTCCCCGGCTGTGGGCCTTATGTGTGGGAGTCGGCCGCCCCGTCCCTGCCACCTCACAGACATAACTGTGGCCTTTTGTCCCCGGCAGAGGAGAATGAGGAGCGCACGATGATCGACCCCACCTCCAGGGAGGACCCCAAGTTCAAGGAGCTGGTCAAGGTGAGGCCTGACGGTGGGCGCTCCTGTGGACAGGGCTGCTGAAGACGGGCAGCCACCGGGTGCTCAGCCAGGGGTCTTCTGAAGCCCCAGGTGGCTGGCTGCCCCCTGGCTCCCAAAGTGTGCTGGGGACACCTGCCTCAGCGTCCAAGTCCCCAGTCCCCAGCTCTGGCCCCGTTCTCCTGGAACTCTTCCCCAAGACGCAGACGCCATGGCTCTGACGGAGCAGAGAACCCGTATTGTGTGTGAGCCTCGCGCCCACACGGTCCCCCTGACCCTCCCCCAGGGCTGCCGATAGAGACCCCTCAGGTGTTCGCTCCTGGCCCACCTCGCCTGAATGAGCGCCTCCCTGGCTGGGAGCTGGGAGGGGGTTGCAGCTGGGTCTGCAGCTGCAGGCTCAACAACCCTCAGGTGGAAAATACTAGAAACAATGTTGCACTGTTGCTGAAGTGTGCCACCTGGTCAGGCCAAGAGGGCGACGTCTGTGCTGAACAGGTACAAATGCCTTTTTTCTTAAAATTATTCCATGAAGAGTCCAGTGTCACCACATGGAACTAGCAGTGACACCGGCGAGGTCTTGTAAGTCTTCTAGAGGCCCTTCCAGGCGTACAGGAGGGTTTCGTAGGTTCCACGCAAATAAATACGGTATTTAAAAGAAGGCGCTTCAGCCAGGCACAGGGCACACGCCTGTAATCCCAGGGACCGGGAGGCTGAGGCAGGAGGATGGCAGTTCAAAACCAGCCTCAGCAACTTAGCGAGGCCCTATGCCACTCAGGGAGGCCCTGTCTCTAAATAAAAAATAAAGGGGCTAAGGATGTGGTTAGTGGTAAAGAGCCCCGGGGTTCAGTTCCTGGTACCAAAAAAACAAAGGACTTCAACAGCTTAGGGTATCCACAGGGGTCCTGGGACAGTCCCAAGACTGCTGGGGGACACCCCCTGGGATGTGGTGCCAAGGGGTGACGGTGGCTCTGGGGTCAGCTCCCAGGTCCAGATCCTGACTCGGGTGCAGGTGGAGCTGGGCAGGTGCTGGGCACCCTCACGCTCCTGAGGCCACCGGGCGCCAGGAGCAGGGCAGGCAGGAGCGGAGGGACGCTGCTGGCCCGGCTGCCTGTTGAGAAACGGGACTGGCGTGGGCTCCGGGGTACAGACTACCTGGACGTCTTCCCCGTCCTGGCCTCTGCTGCCCCGTCGATGAGTCTGGCTTCTTCCACAGCTCAACTCCTTCTGGGTGGACGGCAAGGGCTGCCCGGGCCGGAGGTGGCCTCACGAATGAGGCACTTTGTATTTTTAACGATTCTCCAAAGAGGACAGTGGTCCGAGCCCTCCAGCCGAGGAAGACTCTCACGCCGGAGGAAGATGGAGAGCCGCGTTGGCCTTCGTCCTTGATGGCCGGCGCAGGGCTCCTCCATGCTTGGGTTTCTCTAGGGCAGAGGGTCTCCCGGGACTCCCGCAGGGCCCTTAGGACCACCCCTGATTGCTGCTGGGGCCAGCTTCAGGATGGGGGCTGGTCTTGGTAGGGCTGACCAGTCATGAGAGGTTGACACTGGACCTCTGGGGAGGCGCGAGGAGCCCAATTCCCGGTGGCCCTGTGGCTGCCTAACGAGCGCAGCTCTGGACAAGTGGGAACGGGGGTCAGTGAGACCCCAGGAGGGGTGTGAGGAGGGGGCTGGACTCTGCGCCCACCCCGCGCCCTCCATCCCCCGCTAATGGACATTATGATGCTTTCAATGTCGCGTGCCCTGCAATCGCCAGCCCTGTAAAGCTCTGCTGAATTCCGGAGGCCAGTCTCTGAAATGACCCGACCCAGGGTGGGGAGGCCCCGCCGGCCGTCTGAGGGGCAGAGGGGCAGGTGTTCTAGGGAGTGGGGCCAGCCTGGGGGGATGGCGCTCTTAACCTGTGGAACCCCAGTTTGGGTGATTAGGGTCACTGTCAAGTTGGGGGACAGAGAGTCAGAGAAGTGCTGGGAACAGTGTGTGTTTGGAGTTGAAGAAAAACCACGTGAAACTCCCGCGTGCTGGACAGAAGCCGCCCCTCTGGACCCCGGAGCGCGTCCCCCAGCCCACTGGACGGTCTTCCTCCCCTTGGTGTCTGGGGAGAAAATCAGTGGCACAGAAACCACCTGGGGCTGAGGCCGGGGCTGCGGGGTGCCTGCCGTGCCCCCAGCTGCCAGCCCAGGCGCCGTGAGCGGGCGTCCTCGGTGGGCGCAGCGGCCAGGACCGCGTCTGGAAGGGGTGAGAAGATGACAGTCCCAGCCCCCTGAGGCCGGCTGCAGACCTGATGGCGGTTCAGGAGGAACGAAGGAGGAAGACATTTTTTACTCGGGTTAAAGCAAGTTCATAAAAGCAAGGTGACCGCGAGGACATGATTGATCCACATCCTGGACTCTCACCCGCGGGACCCGGGTGTGCAAATGAGCACGTCCCTAAAAATAACGCCCTGTGCTACCTTTAAAAGGTCTTGTGCAGAGCAGAAGACAAGACGGATGGTCCGGGAGCTCCGGGGCCACGTGCTGCCCTCCCCGGGTGCGGTGACTCTGAGCTGGCGCTGGCTGGCTCTCCCCGGAGCTGACCGCTGGGTCTGCGGCATGGGTCTGGTTCTGGTCTCTGTTGTTTTCTGTCTGGGCTTGGCCCAGGGCAGGATCCAGATGTGATTTATGTCGTTTTTAGGTTTTAGCTTCTTCCTGCAGAAACATCCTCTCGGGGGACGGTGCCCTGGGCCAGGCCTGGGAACCAAAGGTCTGTGGGCCCAGGAGGCCTCCCCAGAGTGTGGTCAGCGGTCCTGCTGTCTGTTTGGGCCCCCCCCTGTGCTCCGTTCCTGCCCCTTTCCACAAATAAATAAATAAAACACAAGTTGAAAGAAGAGAAGGAAGGAGGAGAGCAGTAGCCCTCATGCAGGGCCCGGATCAGGCCGGGGTCCCGGGTGCAGGTCTCAGGGCTGTGGCTGCGGGAGTCGGTTCTGGGGCCCAGGCTCCTGGGACTCCTGGGTGGTGGTCCTGTATCTGTCCTGGAAAAGGAGCCCCTTCAGGGGTTGACTTGGAGGGGCCCCCGGATCCCGAGGCAGGAGGGTCGGGCCAGGTGTGTGTGTTTAGAGGCGTCTGGGTTAGGTACAGCGTCGGAGGTCATGGAGGGCACAGAGAGGGCCGAGGCCAGGTGGTCCCCAAGGAGAATCCCCTCGAGGAGACCACAGCCGTGGACAGAGTGGCGGACAGAAGCCAGGAGCCAGAGGTTGCCGTGATGGAGAGGAGAGACCCGAGGGCCATGGGCAGCCGCGGGGCCCAGGAGGGCAGAGTGGTGTGGCCGGCTCTGTCCTCCTGCCTGTTGGGAGGTCCTGGACTGGACTGTGCCCTGTGTCATCTCTGGGAGGGGCCGGCCACTGCCGTTCAGAGAGGTTACTGGGGCCAGTTAGATGGCTGTGTCCATTTCGCTCGCCCGGGGGACGTGTGGACGACCAAGGCCGCTCAGGCTGCGCCTCCCGTCCTGGGAGCAGGGCTGCCTCGGGCAGGGCTGAGCAGCCCCAAAGCACCACCCGGAGCCCAGCGGGGGAGTCTGTTGAGAAAAGGCCTGAGAGGAAGAGGCTGCCTGGAAAGAGGGAAGTTCACCTCCACAGGCAGACGGGGACGTGGGGGCCTCAGCCGTGCTCTTCACGGCACCAAACGGCAGCAGCAGTGACCCAAACGCACAGCGACGGATGAGAGGGTCCACAGCACGTGCGTGCCGTGGAACAGTATGCAGCCATAAAGAAGGAACAGGGTGGACCCACGCTGCAACGTGGGCAGAGCTGGACAACAGGAGGAAGAAGGAAGAGAAGCCCGTCCCAGAAGGCCAGGAGCCTGAGGCCACAGGACAGAAGACAGGTCCTGGTTGGGAGGGGCCGAGAGGGACAGATGGGGCCACTCTGAGTGCGAACGGGGCTTCTGTTTAGGGCGGTGGCGAGGTCCTGAAGTGGACGGGGCTTTTGCCCGACTTTGAGGTCGTACCACACCCACTGATGGCAGTGGATAGTCTCTCCCTAAAGCTGTTTTATAAAGTGCTGCGGGAAGCGGGGGCTGCGAGCTGGCCAGAGGCCAGGCTGACCCTCCTGCCACAGCCTGGGGCTCCCGCAGCCCTGGGGGGGGGGCCAGGGAGGGTGTCTGACGGCCGCTTCCTGCCTGGGGGCCGGGGTGGCAGTACCAGCACTCACTCCGTGCCCCCGCCTCCCTGCCACCGTCTCTCCTGCTGAGGGAGGGCGCTGTCACCTCACCTCATGCTCCCGGCAGGAAGGGGCCCGTCCTCACCCGGCGCTGGGAGCTCCCTGGGCAGCCCCGGCCTCCAGGGCAGGTGCGCGGGCTGCGGGGGCTGGGAGAGGCCTGTCCGGTGGCCATCGTGGTGTGGGCTGCGCGGGTGGCCGTCCCTTCCTTGGCTCACGGCCTGCTCCCCCAGGTCCTCCTGGACTGGGTCAATGACGTGCTGGTGGAGGACAGGATCATCGTGAAGCAGCTGGAGGAGGACCTCTACGACGGCCAGGTGCTGCAGAAGCTGCTAGGTGAGTGGCAGAGCCCGGGCTGGGCCACCGTCCCCACAGGGCCACCCCGGCCGATGTCCTGACCGGAAGGGGTCCAGGGACAGTGGCCTCCCGCTTGGGGTGTGGTCCAGGAGGGAGGCGGGAGTGGAGGCCGCAGTCCCCCAGCTCCTTCCTGTGTCACTGGGGACAGGGCGCCACCCTGAACAGCGCACGTGGCACTCAGCGTGGCCGGCGCCCTGTCTGCGGTCACTGGGAGGACTTAAAATGAGAAAGACCACGGAGCGGCTGGCCAGGGTGGCTGCCGTCTGGCTCCCTGGGGTCCCCGGGTGACTGGAGCCTGGCACATTTGTGGGTGGGGCGGGGAAGGGTCCTGCAGATTGGTGACCACGTGGACGGGGCCACTTCAGTGGGAAAGAGGGGGGGAGGGTGACGTGCGTGGGGCCTGCTGGCCTCGGTGCCCTGGACCCCGGCCCGCTGACTGCGGCATGGCTTCCCGTCCTCAGGACGCTCTGGGGTGTCTTCAGGGCCAACACCTGGGAGAACCTGTTAATGTGCCTCTTCAGTGTCACCCCGAGACCCCAGGCCCCCGCGTCGGGTGGGGTCGACAGACCGGCATCAGGGCCTCCTTCCTCCCAGCACCCCCCTGTGCTGGACCCCAGGGCAAGCCTCGTCCTCCTGCCGTTCCTGCAGAGGCCACTCCCTGGGGACGGGGGCGGGGCAGAGGTGGGGCTGGGGCTGCAGGACCCTGGGGGGCGGCGGGGACCACCGAGTGGAGAGAGAGCGGCTGGGGGCGCAGACGAGATGGGCTGCCTGGAGGAGGTGCCCTGGGGCTGGAGGAGGAGGGGGGCCTCTGCCCAGGGAGGGAGGCCGGACACCCAGGGCGGCCTCTGCAGCATGAGGGTGTGGGGAGGCCGAGTCCTTCACTCTGGGCGGGGTCTGCACACGCGATATAAATGGCCCTGCCACCGTCTCACCTGCTGAGGGAAGGCGCTGGGTCACATCACCTCCTGGACGGCCGGGGAGTGTGCGGAGCCACACTGAGTGACCACGCCCTCCAGTCCTGCTGCCCACGGGGATCTGAGAGATGGCTGAGTCTGGCGCGGTGGTGCCGTGACTCGGAACTTGGTCTTGTCCCCCCCCACTCCGGTCTCAAGGCCAGTCTTCTGAGGAGGCGTGTCACCCTGGGCTGAGCCACGTCACCTGTTCTGCTGCAATCCCACCCCTTGCCCTGTTTGGGATAGAATGTTCCATGGAAGTGCCCTGGTGTGTCCCCTTCTCTTGCTCTGCCTTTGGCTGTGGCTTCCTAGATGTCACTCAACCTGCTGACAGTAGACATCACTAAGCTAGACTCAGCCCCCCAAACCTGACCCCTGGCCTCATTTGAATGGCTTCTCCCCCGTAAAAGGGGTCAGCAGTGGTCGCTCTTTTCACTGACCCCCACGGTCAGAGCAGCCGTCACGGGACCCAAAGAAGAAGGCGCCTCTGTCTCTGTGGGTTGTTTCGTGCAGCCCAGTCCCTGGGGTGACCCTGGTGTTGTAGTCGTGAGGAACGTGACAGGAGGGGTCCCCTGTCCTCCAGACTGCTCTTGGAGGGAAGCTGTTGTCACGGTGAGGTCACCCGCTCCTTTGATCAGGGGCTGGCAGTGCCAGGGCGGGTCTAGGCGGCCTAGGCTCCGGAGACACGGGGTGAGCACGAGGGCCACCAGGTGTGTGTTCCAGCCGAGGGTGGACAGAGGACGAGGTGCATGTGGACGGTTCAACCTGAAGCATAAGGAGCCGCTGTGAGGGGCAGGGAGCCCGGGGGAGAGCAGCCTGTGAGTGCGGGGGCCGTTGTGGTGCTGGACAGCCAGGGGCCCTGCCCAGGAGCCGTCCTGCGCACAGGACAGGGAAGGACATCCAGGCCAAGGCTCTGACGCAAGGAGGAGCCTGTTGTGTAGACGGACAGGGTGGGGGGGCAGCCGTGCAGACGCAGTCGTGAGACGAGGCTGGGAGGACAGATGGCGTCCAGCCTGGGAAGCAGCGCTTCTCTCCCACATGACAGGAGGCCACCAGAGGCCCTGAGCAGGGTCCTGACATGGTCTCAGTGGAGATTTAAAAGGCCACGTGGGCTTCTGGGTGCAGAGTAGATGGGAAGGAGGGTCAGGAGTTGGCACTGGGACATTGACCAGGTTGTCTTGCAGCTCTGACCAGGGCAGGAGTGTGACAGGGACAGTGTTCTGGAGGTGACAGCTGCCCGGGGAGGAGCTCTGCATCCTGAAGTCCACTGCTGGGCAGGAGTCTGGAGTCCAGCCGCAGCGTCCGTGTGCGCTCAGTGTCCTGGATTGGACGGCGTCACCTGGAAGAGGGGGCTCCAAATTCCTTATTTGACTGAACTTCAGGTGGCCAAGAAGGGACATCAGTTTGGCTGGGGCAGGATCCCGTCTTAGGTTGATTCTGGGGTTCCAGGATGAATCTGAAATGTCCCTCAGACCGTTTCATAGTTATCGTGACTTTGTGGTGAAGGGTTAGTGGGTGGGTGCCAACGTCCCGCTGTCCAGTGGAGCTGACTTCCTCGGGTGCTGGTGCACAGTCATTCCCAGCAGCCAGGTGCTGGTGCACAGTCATTCCCAGCAGCCGGGTGCTGGTCACTCTTTTCACACTGGACATGTGAGCTGGTGGAGACTGTCAACTGAGGAGTCCAGAGCAGCACACTGACCTTATCTGTCACTGTCCTCAAGGTACAACGGGTGGTGAAGCAGCCTGGGCTCTCAGCTTCCCTCAGAAGGACTGGTGGCCGTGAAGACTCAGCTCCTCGTCGACTCCGGGCCTCGGGGATCTGGCTGCTGGGGGGATGTTTGATTGAAGCAGATGCTCAAGTTGGTCTTTTCTCACTACCTGGAACAGACACTTCCTAGTGTCTTCATGAGCAAACTTGAGTGCTCTTCTGAAATTTTTTTTTGTCTTTTTAGATGTTGATTTACTTCTTTGTTTTTGCTTTTAATTTTTCTGCATCGCATGTGGCCCCACCTATCTCATCTCAAAAAAAAAATGTCCCCAGGCCTTGCAGAGTGGCTGTGAGGCTCAGTGACCGGATCTCAGGATCACAGGACAGGCTTGAATTTGTGTCACATCGGCCGCGGTGGGGTATGAACAATGCCGTCCCCCACCCGCGTCAGGGCCATCCTTTGGAGCAGGCGTCCTTGTCCTCTGGCTGCACTTCACGTCCTTTTGGTTCCCTCTTCAGTTGGCCCCGCGAATGCAGCACTTCCTCGAGCTGCGGTGGCCGCGAGTCTTGCTGCGTGCCTTTGTCTTGTGCCCAGCGTGGCGGAGGCTCCCTTGGCTCCGCAGCCTGGTCACGGTGGCCAGGCTGCTGGTCCTCCTTGTTTGAGGGTCCCCAATAAGTACTCGAAAGGCCACTTTAAAGTCTCTTGTTTGTCAATGGGTCAGTGTCCCACGTTGAAGACAAGGACAACGTTCAGGGATAGTCAGCTGTCGACAGAACACCCCAACGTCGTGCCAGGTGTGGGACCTGTTGTGACCCTGACGAGACGTGTTGGTAGCCCACGTGACTCTTGAGCGAGGCCCAGGATTCCAGGAGAGATCTTGCTGCAGGCATTTCACTCCTTGGCTACCAAAGGCAAAATCTAAAACCAAATAAGGGATTTTGGCCGAGTACCAAGGCCAGAGTTGCCGCCTGTGCGTCTGAGGAGTGGGCTGTGGTGGTCAGCACGAGTGGTCAGGAAGAGGAGGAGCCAGCAAAGCAGCTGGGCAGGATCGGCCACCAGGAGTGTTGTACCGGGAGGGACCGAGGGTGCGTCCAGGAGGCGGGGTGAGGAGTCGAGGACAGAGAGGGCCTCTGGGCTTGGCCATGTGGAGATTGCCGCGGGTGAGGACCCGGTGGGCGGTCCCAGAGGAGCTGCCAGTCTCCACGGCAGGCGGGTTTCTGGGGCACATCTCTGCTGCGTTGGCTCTTTATGGGCAGAGGGTGCTGTGCCGACGGCCGTGGGGGCTCCCGGGCCGGCTACTGCCTCTGCTAGCCCACCCCCCCACTGCCTCTGAGTTTGCAGCCCCCGTTGCCGTCACCATGGCCTCCTGACTCCCTGAGGTCCGGCGGTTTTTCTCTGTCTCTTTCTGAGCTGGGAAGAGAGTCCAGGCCCCGGCGAAGCCTGGGCTGCTCCCCGTCTCAGCAGTGGGCAGGGTGATGTCTGGTGGCCCGGCAGCCACGTCCCTTGTTCTCCGCCACATGGAGTGCCACCCAGGACCCAGCCCAGGCCACCCCAGGCACCGCCAGCTTCCCTGGTCTCCGTTACGGCTGGGTGTGTCCCCTCAAAACTCACACGCTAAAGCCCGTCCACCCCACAGGGTGAGACTGTTTGGAGAAGTCGATTGAGGCCTCGTGGTGGGGGCTGGGCCACTGTGACTGGTGTCCTTATAAGGAGAAGAGATTGGGACCCAGACACACAGCAGGGCCATGTGAGGGCAGGGAGAAGGTGGACGGGTAGCCCTGGACACGAGGACCACTCTTGGCTGTCCCCCTCCTCTGGTGCTTTGTCACGCTGCCCGGGCTGATGGGTGCAGTTTCCTTCTCTGTCTCTCCACCTCCTCTTCCACCCAGGTGACGTGGCTGACAGGGGACAGGAGGGGTGTACCGGGTCCCTGTCTGTCCTACTGGGCCGGGCTCCTGGACCCCGGCTCTGCCCTGTGCTAGGTCCTGGGAAGCCCGGGCACCCGGCTTGCTGGGTTTCCAGGGTGTTTCTGGGACACTGGTGTCTTCGGCTGATTGGATCAGGTGGAGAGACCCGTGTGCCAGGCGTCACCGTCCCCGGCCGGCGTGGCGGGCTCTTGTTTCCCTTCCTTCTTGCCCTCGGCCAGCTGGATGGTGCGCAGTCGGTGTGTCCAGGACCCCCTCGGTCACCTCCCACCCAGCCTGTCTCTGCACTCGGGAGGGACCCCTTGTCCCTGCCTGCTGAGCTCCAGGACTGAGCCTGTCACCTAGCGAGTGGGGTTTTAAACGTTCTCCTGGATCATCCCGTGACACTTTGGCCATTTGGTGGAGGTCTAGCCCCGACACCTGAGCCTGGAATCTACGAGTGGGAGGGAACCGGGTCCCCCGCCACGCTGCCCTCACCAGGGCGGCTGGATCGCCGGTGCCCGCGTCTGCTGTCCCCTGCCCTCACCTGCCGCTGTGCTCGCTCCTCAGGGAAACTGAAGGAACGCAGGCCGCGGCCGGGTCTCTGGCTCAGTGATTGAATCTTGAGCGGAGGTGACAGTCCCTGTGCTGGCCAGGCCCCTCCCGGTTGCTGCTCCCTCTAGGGGACAACATGGCGCCAGCCCCGTGAAGCTCTAGCAAACTTCTCTGTGTGTCAGAACGTCAGGGCGAGTGGGAGGGGCACGCAGGAGGGAGGTGGCCCCAGGGCCTTCCTGGCCCCGCTAAGCTCATGTCCCCAGGACGGGCTCCTCACCGAGCTGCCCGCTCCTCCAGGTGCCCCTCGCCCTCAGCGGGGTCTTCGGTGACTCTTCCATTTTGTGTTCGTAGAATGATCGGGCGGGGGGGGGGGCTCCACGTTTCACCCCTGCCCCGTCCTGCTCTTCCTTCTGGTGCGGAACGACCTTGGACTTGGGGTTCTTACTTCGGCATCTCAAAACTCCCCGTGTCTTGCGGTCACCTGCTCCACCTCGGGGGCCTCAGTCGGCAGGTGGCCGGGCCACCCTGGCCCCTCCTGCCTCCTCTGACGCGCAGCCTCCAGTCTCGTCCTTCTCTTGCAGAGAAGCTGGCGGACCGCAAGCTGAACGTGGCTGAGGTGACCCAGTCTGAGATCGGGCAGAAGCAGAAGCTGCAGACAGTTCTGGACGCCGTGTTGGACCTGCTGCGGCCGCACGGCTGGGCGCTGCGGTGGAGTGTGGACTGTGAGTGGCGCAGGGAGGGCGTGTCTTTTGGGGATTTGGGGGGATACCAGAGATTGAACCCAGGGGCACTCGACCGCTGAGCCACATCCCAGTCCTATTTTGTGTTGTATTTAGAGACAGGGCCTCACTGAGTTGCTTAGTGCCTCCCTGTTGCCGAGGCTGGCCTTGAACTCACCATCCTCCTCTCTCAGCCTCCTGGGCTGCTGGGATCACAGGCATGTGCCACCACGCCTGGCAGGGAGGGCGTGTTTGGACGGACCCTTTGCCTCTGCCCATTGCCCCCCACCAAGGCACCTGGCCCTGGAGGTCACAGACCTGCTCGCCCTCCTGCCCCACGGGAGGGCAGTGCAGAGGGGAGGGGCCGGGGGCCACAAATCGGGGCCACTGGGCACACCCTGAGAGCCTCTGTCTGCCCAGCACAGAGCAGAGGAGTGGCCCCAGCTGGGCGGGTCAGGGAGACTTCAGGGGCAGAGCCGTCCCCAGGGGCTCTTGTGGGGACTCAACTCCAAAGCCCCGGGACTTTCATATAAGACAGCTGTTTTACTGAAGGCCCCCAAAGCAAGTCCCCAGGAACTTGGGCCAGCCTCAGGAAAGTGCCACAGGGTGAGCTGGTTGTAGGAGGGTGTGACGTCACAGTGTCCCCAGCCCAGGCACTCAGCGAGAGGGGAGAGCTGACCAACAGAAGCTGGACCATTCTGGTCCATTGCCCCACCCCCTGCAGGGCAGTCGGGGTGCAGAGCTCTCCCTGCTGGCCCCTGGCCCTGGGGCCTGGGGAGCTGGGCCCAGGCTGCGGAGAGGGCACCTGCCCTGGCCTGGCCTCTTGGTCTGAGAACTTGGAGAGACCCAGCCTCATGGGCGCAGGGGCCGTGGGTGGGAATGGGCAGAGGTGGCAGCTGCCCGGCCTCGGCCTGCACTCGGGGGGCTGGGGAGAGTGGGCGGCCACAGAGACTGGCCTGGGCCAGGCGGGAGTCCGCATCCAGCATCCCAGAGACGGTCTGCCCTCGAGGGAGAAGTCACTGGCAGCCAAAGACGATGGCGTCATTACTGTGGTGGCCGGTGGCCGTGACCCGTCCTCCTCCCGGTTCACTGCTTTAAAAGCCAGGCTGCTTTAGAAAGTGGTTGTACAGGTCACCCAGGGCAGAGGAAGGAAAGAACTAGAAAGGAGAGAGGAGCTCACGCTGGAGGCCCGGCGCTCTGCTGTCCACGGCTGTCCTGTCCTTGCCTCTGAGGTCCGTGGGGACGCCGCCCTGTGGATGGCCGGGTTCCCTGAGCCTCGCTTTCCTCCCTGCCACAGCGATCCACGGGAAGAACCTGGTGGCCATCCTGCACCTCCTCATCGCCCTGGCCACCCACTTCCGGGCCCCCATCCGCCTCCCCGAGCACGTGTCCGTGCAGGTGGTGGTCGTCCGGGTGAGTAGCCAGCGGGTGCGTCCTGCGCGGGGAAGGCAATGTGACGTCCCCTCCCGCAGCCTTCCATCTGCATATTTTCCCTCTCAAGCACCTACCTCTGTGTCTGGCCCTGGCTCCGAGGTGGACGGCGGGGGTGGGGCGGGGCGGACAATGGCGCTGATTGGAGCAGAGGCAGAGGCTGCAGGGTGTTGAGGTTTAATTTTCCAGATTTTTGAAAAGAACATTCATTTCTCTCCAAAGCCAACTCGTCGGAATTCAATCCCTTGAATGTGCTTATTACTGGAGGAGGCTGGGCCGGCGGGAGGAAATAGATCCCCAAATTAAAGGCTCCGCACATTTGCCGTGGAGCACGTCCCACATCCCCATTATCTCTTTTTTGGGATTCATTTCTCTTGATTCACTGGGAGAAGGACTGGGACCCCCGGGCCTGCCCCGCCCTCGCTGCTTCCCCCCGGTGCTGGGTGCGGGGCCCCGGGGGGTGCAGGCACAGTTTTGTTGGTGAATGTACTGAGCACCTCGCAGGCACCAGGCGCTCGCTGGGCTGCTGGGGACTCGAGATGAGGAGACCCCACTGGGGCCTGAAGGAGCAGCTGCCTCTGCTCCTGGGAACCTGGGGGTCTCGGGGCTCTATGTCCCTGGAGACGTCCGGCCACGCGATCTGAGTTTTGGACTCACCAGTCCTGTGGCGTCTGCGGTCCGCGAGAACCTGGCTGAGACGCTGTTTTCTGAAGCCGTCTGACCGCCCCATCACCCCGGGTGCTGGCTTGGCCTGGCTGGAAGGCCCCTCTCTGGCATTAAGCAAAGGTCACCTGCCTGCTCTGCCCACTTCCTGCCTAAGGAGGATGTCTGTGGCCAGCACGGTGACGTGGGCCCCAGGAGGCCATCCTGCGGTCCCTATCTTGGATGCCTGGTCGCAGGCAGCCTGCCGGGAAAGGCTTCCCGAGGACACCGAGCCTGGTTTCCGAGCCCACCTACGTCAGAGTCGGCCGGGCTGGCGCAGGCTCAGCGTCCCGGGTGTCCCCTTTCAGGCTTGCGCTGGGTCCAAGGCAATCTTGGGTTTGCGGAATGTTTGACCCAAGCAAGTATTCGTGGTGCCTTCCGCACTGACCGGGGTTCACAGGACCACGCCCAGCATGGAGGAAAGGGGGGGGGCTCCGAGCTGGCCGCACCGTTGCTCAGAGGCTGGCCTCCCGGCCTCGTTCGAGCCGCCCTGCCTGCCCTGCCATCCCCTGGCCTGTCCCCGCACGTCTGGACTTGCTCAGGCGTCTAGTTCGCTAGTCCCAGGAGGGGCCATGCAAGGCCCGTGGGATTTCAAGGATGGAAGAAACAGAGGCCAGGGCCACGTCCACCTCCTACCACAGGGCCTGGGTTGTGCCACAGGGTCACTGACCTGCAGTGACTTCCCCACCAGAGTCCACTACCTTTACACTATTCGGCTTTAAGTCTCCAATACCTTGGCCTGGGCCCAGCACCCGGTAGGCACCTAGTGCGAGTTTGGTGTGTGAACAAGTGAACAGGATGTCTCTGGCCTCGCCGGGAAAACTCTTCTGAGACTCAATCAGCCTGAGGCCCCGAGCAGGCTGCTGGCCAGGGACAGCCGTTCCTCATTAACAGGGACCAGCCCCAGAGGCTCTGGAGGCCGCGCTCGGGAAGGAGGGAGGCTCAGATCTCGGGTGGGCCCATGGGGGCCGCCGCCTCAGGAAGCGATCCCCCATCCCGCGAGGGGTCTGGGCAGGGGCCTGTGGTGGTGGTGGCATTGAGTGGTCACCCGGGTTCCCCCAGAGCGCCTGCAGCTGTCACCCACAGCCCCCCTCCATGGCCTGTGTACCCGCCCAGCCCCGACGAGCGGCCGGTGCCCTTGGGTAGCCCCCCGGCTGCTGGGTCAGAGCAGCTGTAAGAGGGGAGGAGGGGCAGGTGGATCGGAGAGCCAGAAGTCTGAGGTCAGGGGTCAGCAGGGCCACCGGACCTCAGAGGGCTCAGGGAGGACCCTGGCCCTCCAGCCTCTGGGGGGCGGGTGCTGTCCCGAGGCTTCCGTCTCACTCTCTCTGCTTTGGTGGACGTGTGGCCTCCCCCGCTCTGCCTCCTCTGTCCTTACGAGGACCCCAGCCGGGCAGGGCTCAGGCTCACTGCAGTCCAGCGTGACCTGGTCTGAACTCGCGTCCACAAGGACGGTTTTCAAGGAAAGTCACATTGGAGGCTCTGGGTGGACGTACTTGGGGGACCTGTTCAGCCTGGGAGCTATTTCACTGGGTGTTTCCGGCTGTCACTCCCCATCCTTCAGACACCCTCCGCCCTCCTGGTGGCACACTGAGTCCCTCTGGGGACTCTGAGCCGGGGCGCTTCCTCCAAGACCCCCTCTGAGGCCCGCCGTCAGGCCACACGGGGGACGGTTGCCGTAGGTTCTCCCCGGCGGCCACCTGAAGAGCCCCTGAGCCGTGGGGAGGGAGCTCCTGCCCGGGGACCCTGTGCGTGGGCGAGTCCTCTCACCTCCTCTCTCTGCTTGGCTTCCCGGGGACGAGCAGAAGTGGGAAGGCCTGCTACACTCCAGCCACGTGTCGGAGGAGCTGACCTCGACCACAGAGTAAGTGGACCGTCCGGCCCTCCAGGCCCTGCGCCCGAGCGAGCCCAGGCTGCAGCTCAGCCAGGGACACCCGTGCCTGAGGGCTGTCCCTGTGTCCCTTGCCCTCCGGGAGCCTTTACCTGCAGGCCATCCTGGCCTCCCCTGCCACACACGCTCCAGCTTCGCCCTCGGAGTCCGTGTTCCTTCCTGTAGAGGGCTTTAGGGATGTTGGGTGGGGCTGAAGGTGCAGGAAGGCCCTGGAGACCGGCCCCCCCGGGGACCCATCTGCAGCTCCCTCAGAGGGACGCCACGGGTCCAGGCCCCGCTTGTCTTGGACGAGCGAGGCTCTCTGGGAAGTCCAGAGGGCAACTTCTCAACTGTCCGAAAGGCTTCAAACCCCTCGGAAGTAGCAGATCCAATAGTCGGTTCTGGGTGGCCGTCAGGACGCCCGCCGAGGACCTCAGAGTTCTCTGCCTCCGCACTGACCTGCTGCAGGTGAGGCAGGAGGTTCAAAGGATCCGTCGTCGGCAGACCCACCAGCTCCGTGCACAGGGAGGGACCGGGGCTGTGGGTTCACGGACAGCCTTTCAAAGCTGGGCCGAGGGGAAACCAGTCCCTCGCTCGCAGCCCGTGAGCTGTCGGGGAAGCTGTCGAGGTGGCTGCGTGGGTGTGGCCTGCCACGCGGCCCCCGGGTGCTCCAAGCCCTCGAGAGGGATCGAGGAGAGCTGGGGGAGGGAGACGTGCTGTGCCCGGCACCGAGGTCCCTGCGCAGCCGGGTGTCCAGCAGTAGAAGCTGCTTGGGAGGAACTGGGATTGGGGTGGCGTCCGGCCACCGACTGTCACCTAGACCCACCTTGGAGCCTGTTCATTTGCTGGCAGTCCGTGGTCAGCGGCTCGGGCTGGGCTCAGCTGGGCGGTTCTCTGGCCAGTCTTGCCAGGGTTGCTGTGTGACTGTGGACATCCGAGGGCCACCATGGGGCTGGGCAGGCCTAAGTGAGTCCAGTAGAGTATTCCCCAGGTCCCCTCAGCACTCAGAGCAAGTGACAGGTCTCCCGGGGCCAGGGGTGGAGACAGACCCCACCCTCGGATCAGGAGGGGCCCAGCCCATTGCTGCAGGCAGACGTGCAGCCCTGGACCATGCCATGGCCACCTTTCCCCGCCCCCTACCCCCGAGGATAAAAGGACCAGAGAGGGGGGTCGTGAGCCCTGCAGCCAGCCTGGGTGAAGCCCAGAGGGGAGTAGGGTGGGAAGGTGGCCTCGACATCCACCAGCCATGATCAGCACATGGGGGCCTGATGCCCACCAGCCCCAGCTGGGCACAGAGAGGCTGTTGGACTTGGCTCCTCTCCTGAGAGCTGTGGACCAGGGTGCAGGCAGAGGGCATGTCAGCAGAACGCAGGATCCTGCCCGGGGCAGGTGGCGGGCAGGTGGAGGGGGCAGGTGGAGGGGGCAGGTGGCAGGCAGGTGGAGGGGGCAGGTGGAGGAGCACGTCCCTGAGGGAGTCTTTAGGGGGATTTGCCTACAGGCCGGCTGAGAGCCAGGGAGCCAGCCGGGCTTTCCCGGGTCTTGGGCTCTTCCGGGAGGGCAGTGCAGGAAGTGGCGAGGTTGTGGTCCCTTCCCAGGCCACGCCGGCCCCGTCCCACCAACCTTCTCCTCACCTGCCCACTCCGGGTTGCTCCCTCCGCCCCTCCTCTCCCATGGCCACCGAGGATCTGGGGATCGTCCTGCTGTGGCTGCCTGTCCTCTGGTACCTCTCTCCTCCGTCCTCCTGCGACAACAGAGACCCACGTTTGGGTTGCTGAAGGCATCATGGCCACCGCATCCCGTCTCTGTCCCTTCTGGTCTCTCTTAGCGGCAGCCCTGAGGTCACCCTCTCCAGAAAGCTCCCCTGGGAGGCTCAGGTGTCTGTCTCACCTTTGGAGTCCCGGGCCGGGCCCTCGGTGTTGTCCCTGCGGTGTTTAGTTCTGTGTCTCCCTGCCTGCGCATAGTAGGTGCTTACATCAGCGTCTGTTAAACAAGACGGAACCCGAGCACCGGTGCTACAGGGATCTGGGGAAGAAACAGCTCCACCGCAGCCCCTCGGGACGGTCGCGTGGGGCAGGGCTGTGCCCCGGGCACCGGCGCTTTCCAAACTAGTCGTCCTGGTCCTTCACGGGCTGGCCTCCTCACAGCATGTCCTCAATGACATAGGGCTTGGGGCCATTGCAGCCCTGGACCCTGAGGTCTGTGGCCAAGGCTGCTGGGAGACCTGCAGGAACTGGGTCCCTCCTGTGACTTGTACGCAGCCCCTACAGAGGGCGACTCAGGTGGCTGGCGTGCCCACCGAGGGGGTGACCTGCTGCCTGTCTTGTGCAGTGTCAGCCCCTGCACCAGCCCCCTGCGTGTGTCCACAGAGTGGGACAGAAGGGAGCCAGGTGGGATTCGGGTCCCATCAGGGACACTTGAACTGGTCAGCCCTGCCCTGTCATGTTGCCTACCGAACCGCTGATGACCGTCTGACAGCTCTCCCCCCCGCCCCTCTCCCTCTCTCTCCCTCTCTCTGTCTCTGTCTCTGTCTCTCTCCCTCTCTCTGTCTCTGTCTCTGTCTCTCTCTGTCTCTCTGTCCCTCTCTGTGTCCCTCTCTCTCTCTCTCTCT